ATATATATATATATATATATATATATATATATATATATATATATATATATATATATATGTACATTCATAAATATAATGTATATATATATATACATATATATATATATATATATATATATATATATATATATATATATATATATATATATATATATGTATTTATGTATGTGTATATGTATGTATGTATGTGTGTGTGTGTGTGTGTGTATATATATATATATATATATATATATATATATATATATATATATATATATATTATCACACCAATGTTAAAATGGATATTGATTTGAAACTCAAGAAAAAAGGCTAACATCAATATTAAGAACGCCATCAATGAAAACGAAATTTCTCAGCTGAAATATTTTCCGTAAAAGACACAACGAACGAACAGGTAAGGAATATACAAGAAAAATAAAATGAAATAGAAAAAATATATGTGTGGAATAAAAATCTGTCTACTTTTTCTCTTCTACAAAAGAAAAGGAAAAAAATTCCCACAGAAAAACCCATTGATGACACGACCAAAAATGTTCGTTGACTCTATATACACCATAAATTTCTCTTAAGTGACTAAGGGTATTTGAGATGCAAAAAAAGGTACATATATATTTTTGAATTATATGTATGTATAGAGGAGAATATTGAATATATTGGAATATTTCTGTGGTTATGTAAAATGCCATATTTGAAAAATTGTATCAAGATTTGTTCATGCTCTCTCTCTCTCTCTCTCTCTCTCTCTCTCTCTCTCTCTCTCTCTCTCTTTTTCTACGTACATATGTATATATATTTGTATATATATATATATATATATATATATATATATATATATATATATATTGATTTATATATACGTATGCGCACACACACACACACACACACACACACATATATCTGTATATGTGTGTGTGTGTGCGTGTGTGTGTGTGTGTGTGCATGTATATGTGTATATATATACACATACATATACAGATACATATGTACATATACATTTAAGGACGCTGCACATATACATATACAATTACATATACATACATACACACAAGTATATAGGTATAACGAGGGAAATAAACAGATTCTTGTGTGTATTTGTGGTCATATTTATGATTAATTCTAACTGCTTCAAATAATGTATATGAATGAAAATGCATAACTTATTAAAACTATTATTACCTCACTAAAAAAATATCATTGTAATAAAAGCTTCACCTAACGCATTAAATCATACTGTTATACACAACAAAAGTAGTGACATTGAAAGGGAGAGCGAGAGATAGACAAATAGATAGACAGACAAACAAACAAACTGACAAACATACAGACAATCATACAGACAGACAAACACACATACAGACAAACATATACAGACAGACATAAAGACAGATACAGAAGGAGAGAATGACACGTACAAAATATCATACACATACGTCCAAAAAAAAAAAAAAAAAAAAAATCTGCAATCACCGTAAAATTGAAAACAGGATTGCACGTTACCTGAGCAGAACACCCAAGCGTCATTTTCTCAAAAGCGTCGCTCGAGACTTGGAAAACCTTGACTTGTGCGCATTGGTGATCAAAGGAATTTTGCAGGTGCAGTGGCGGTCTCGGTGATACATAAATGTGATACATAGAGGCTGTAATAACTAGGGGGGGGAGGGAGTAAATAGGAGGGGTGGGGAAGGGGGTGAGGATATGGGGATAGGGAGAGGGGGAGGGGAGGAGGAAATAGAGGAAGGGGGAGGGATAGGGGAGGAGAGGAGGAAGAGGTTATAGGGGGAGGGGGAGGGAGGGAGGGGAAGGATGAGGATATAGGGGTAGGGGGGAGGGAGGGGAGGAGGAAATAGGGGGAGGGAGAGGAGGTTATAGGGGGTGGGGATCTAGGGAAAGGGAGGGAGGGAGAGGAGGAGGAAATAGGGGGAGGGAGGGAGGGAGAGCGAAGAGAGGGAATGGAGGGTGTGTTGTGTGCATGTATATGTGTATATATATACACATACATATACAGATACATATGTACATATACATTTAAGGACGCTGCACATATACATATACAATTACATATACATACATACACACAAGTATATAGGTATAACGAGGGAAATAAACAGATTCTTGTGTGTATTTGTGGTCATATTTATGATTGATTCTAACTGCTTCAAATAATGTATATGAATGAAAATGCATAACTTATTAAAACTATTATTACCTCACTAAAAAAATGTCATTGTAATAAAAGCTTCACCTAAAGCATTAAATGATACTGTTATACACAACAAAAACAGTGACATTGAAAGGGAGAGCGAGAGAGATAGACAGATAGATAGACAGACAAACAAACAAACTGACAAACAGACAGACAATCATACAGACAGACAAACACACATACAGACAAACATATACAGACAGACATAAAGACAGATACAGAAGGAAAGAATGACACGTACAAAATATCATACATATACGTCCAAAAAAAAAGAAAAAAAAAATCTGCAATCACCGTAAAATTGAAAACAAGATTGCACGTTACCTGAGCAGAACACCCAAGTGTCATTTTCTCAAAAGCGTCGCTCGAGACTTGGAAAACCTTGACTTGTGCGCATTGATGATGAAAGTTATTTTGCAGTGGCGGTCTCGGTGATACATAAATGTGATACATAGAGGCTGTAATAACTAGGGGGGGGAGGGAGTAAATAGGAGGGGTGGGGAAGGGGGTGAGGATATGGGGATAGGGAGAGGGGGAGGGGAGGAGGAAATAGAGGAAGGGGGAGGGATAGGGAGGGAGGGGAGGAGGAAATATGGGAAGGGGGAGGAGGAAGAGGTTATAGGGGGAGGGGGGGAGGGAGGGGAAGAGGGTATAGGGGGTGAGGATCTAGCGGTTGGCGTAGGGAGGGAGGAGAGGAGGAAATAGGGGGAGGGAGGGAGGGAGAGGAGGAGGAAATAAGGGGAGGGAGGGAGGGAGAGAAGAAATGGGAGGAGGGGGAGGGCGAAGAGAGGGAATGGAGGGAGCCAAAGGGAGGGGGACAAAGGGATCTTTACATGGGTGTCCCTTTAAGCTCTCATGGTCTTCTTTTGTTTTCTGTTGCTTCCTTTTTTCTTTTGTTTGCGTTCTCCTTCGTTCTTTTATTCTTTTTTTTCTCTCTCTCTTTCTCACTTACCTTCCTCTCCCATTCTTTCTCTCGCTATTGATACAACCTTATCTCCCATTTTCCCTCTCCCCCATTCTCCGCTTCCTCTCCTCCTTCCTTTGCACTCTATTCCACGTGTAAAAAAGAGAAATGTCTGTCTCTTTTTCGGGTTTATTTTCTTCCTCTTTCATTATCATTACCAACAATACTGATTATCGTGCATAGTGTCAAGCACATAAGTGGACCCATATATGCACTTATAAGCCGTCCGTCTCTCTCTCTCTCTCTCTCTCTCTCTCTCTCTCTCTCTCTCTCTCTCTCTCTCTCTCTCTCTCTCTCTCTCTCTCTCTCTCTCTAGCTCTCTCTATATATATTACACACACACACACACACACACACACACGCACACACACACATATATATATATATATATATATATATATATATATATATATATATATATATATATATATATATAATTTATTTATATATATATATATATATATATTTATATAGATCACACACACATACACACGCTTCTCTCTGACCTTTCCCTCTTTTAGAAATGGCAAGGTCAAGTGGCCAGCTGACCTTCCGTGACATATGATGATTACGGGGGGGAGGGGGTGGGGGTTCCTGCACACGTGTTCGAAGACCTGAAAGTCGTAATAATGCACAATAGAGGAGAGGAAGGAAAAAAAAAAGAAAAAAGAAAATCTCATGTATTTTCATAGCGTGGCCAAGCGTGTATGTACCTTTATGCATGTTATGTGTTCTTGTTATAGACCTTGTGTTGTTATCATTGTGTTATTGTTGTTCTTGCGTGTACTAGTTTGGATGAAATGTAATATTCAGTTTTTATTATGAATATAATTGTTACATGTATTGTTGTTAACTGTGATAGCATTTTTGTGACTATTATTGTTATTATTACTGTTGGTTTGGGTATTTTTATTATCAATATTATTTTTCGTAACTGGCATCATGCTATTATTGTTATCACGGTCATTAGCATTACTATTATCGCTATATCTATATTTTTTTTTATGTGAATATCAGTATCGTAATAAATCTCACTATCATCATCATTGATATCTTCATAAATGCTGTTGTTGATGTTTTTCTTTACTATTATTTTCATTATTATCATTACTATTATTATTATTATCACCATTATCATCACAATTATTTTTATTATTATGAGACTCATTATTATGATTATTATTGTTACTATTATTTGTAATAATATTTTATTCTTACAACTTTGCCACCGATCTTATTGGCGTCGACTGAGGTCTCACGGTGACTTCACGGGCTAGCAACTCTTCCGGAACAGTGCTTCATTACCAAGGCGAGTGCGGATGCCAGCTCTCAGTGCCGCGGGGGGGGGGGGGGGGGGATTAGTGTCATTGGTGCATTCGATCTCAGTGCCAGGGCCTTTTTTTTTGTATTGTTTTGTTTTAATGATTAGTTTCTTTGTGTTTTTTTGCTGTTGTTGCGTTGTTTTGGCCTTTTTTTATTTATTATTAAGCTGGTATTGGTAAATTAATACATGTAATTTCTGTCCTCATTAACATTGTTGCTCCTATTTTCATCATCTTACTTATCATCACCTTTATCAATTGCGTCATTATGCCCACTCTGTCAATGGCATATGTGTGTGCATATCACGCCTATTGAGTTTATTTCACTAATTGTCTTTTCACATAGATGACTCCACAAATGCTTAGTCATCAAATAGTCAGTTACTGGTACTTCATTTCTAATCCATTTACCATTTTCCTTGATTTCCTGAAATCTCATTTTTCTATCTTATCATAGTTACCACCATTTCCGCTTCGTCACTCATATTCATAGACAATATGGATACCTTACCCGGTGGAGGACCGCCGCCACCCTGGCTCTGATTCCTTGCGACGCGAGGTAGCTTAATGGTGATTGGCTGCGGAGTGAGACAGCCCGAAGGTGATTGGTTGACGGGCACGAGATGGATGAAGGTGTCCGAAGTGTCTCTGAATATGAACGACCATATGAATGCGATGATGTAGCCCGGACTTCGGATTAAGATGTCTTTATCTAATTAAGTAACCCTTCAGTTAGATTTTACGCATTTATTATTTGTATTACAGTTTTGTATAAATTCATGATATACTGGTAATTATTGATTACGAACTCCAATCAACGTCGAAGTAATTGCTCTACCATCGT